TCCACACCTGGTGTAAATAATAAAAATGTGAAAGACTATTTATTTTACATCATCATAATCGTCAAAAATTGACAAAAGGACAGTGTGTAAAATTTGAAAATGCGCAAAGTGATCTTGATTGCTGAAATACAATCGTTTCAATGCGTAGGTCTTTAGTCAATGTACGTTTAGGTGCTCTCTCTGAGTGATTTGCATCCATTGGGTGGGTGTACCTACAGTATATAGCCACTCGTTTAGATCGTGGTCGTACGTTAAACTCACACTGAATTTTACATGTGGGAGCGCGTGGTTGCGCGTTGTGATATTATATAAATCTTAGTATTTGGAGCAAGCAATACCATTGGGGAAGTAGCTAAACAGGTAAAAACACCGATACACTGGTCTGTGTGCGTCCATTGTTTATTGCACTAGTGGTTTGCTTGTCACTGATATGAACATGACATGTATGCAGCTAAAGTGAATCTGACAGTCTGGTGGCACAAGTGAATGGTGTGATCTCAATGTAACAACTCTCCAAAATCCAGACTCCCCATTTATACTCCCGAGACAACAAACAGCGAAATCCACACGGATTTGAGTTGGATGAAGAATATTCCCGGTGTGAACAGTTGCTGTTTGAGGGAATCGGGTAAAGTGTTCACTACCAGAATTACAGGAAGCTGAATAAAATCTTCAACTAGAGCATTGTATCAGAAACTTTCCCAATGTCTGAAGAAATGTTTGAATCAGTGAGTGTTCTTGTTCTTACGTCACAATTCCAGCACTATCACAAGAGGAAATGAGCTTCATATTGTACCTGTGTTGGGAATCGACCTCCACAGTGACCCGTCAATGTAACTAAACCTGTGAAACCAGATTTGGACTGTAGGTTTCAAGGTGGCATTGTCTTCTTTTAAAGATCCGAACACGTCTGGGTCGGGTGCTACTTGTAGCCATAGCTCCCAAGGTAGTCGCCATTTTGTTTACGACCGTACTCAGAGCGAGGCGGGTTGTCACGGGTAACGTGGCCTGTCCGTGGATGGCTCACTGCGCACGCGTGGTGTCGTTTTCCGGGAATCTGTGCTGCCCTTAGCTTGGCAGCATACGCCAATGAGCTCCCGAAAACTGTCCAATCCTCAAAGACACTGATGACAGACAAGCCAATCCACAACCCTAGCGTCCCACCGATGTCGGACAGGAACTGGGCATCCTGGAAGTAAAAATAAATATATGACAGACATGGAACACAAACTTCTGTGACAGGAAAATCTGGTCATATCTAACTCTGTATCATCGATTTACCCATGGGCGGATCCAGAGAGGATATGCGCATCCCCCCTGTCCCTCGAAAGAGATTCCCAGAGGAGCATCTACCCCTAACCGTTGGACGTCATGATGTATTTGCACCCCCTTTCACCAAAATCCTGGAACCCCCCTGTTTACCTGTCTGGATCTTAGTTATGGTTCAAACAGAAATAGTATTGGTGATATGGTCTGATATCGTGCTACTCTTTCACATGACTTTTGGACAAGCGGAGCGTTCGAAACTACCGTTACAGGCGGAACGACCGAGACTATGTAGGCCAGAGAGACTGCCGAGAGTGATTACTGAGAAAACAGATATTACTAAGAGTATCGAGATTACTAACACTATGGAGATTACTAATATTACCGATATCACAAAGACTATCGATATTACTATGACTAAGTAGATTACTTAGACTACCGACATAACAAAGACTAGTGAGATTACTGAAACTATCTCGATTACTAACACTAGTACTGCGATTACTAAAATTATGGAGATTACCGACGCTATCCGGACTATACCGAGGTAACCAAGACGACATGCCCTACAGGGACAAGGCAAAATTTGGGTGCTCGGTGTACAGGGACAAGATAGAATTTGGGTACTAGGTGTACAGGGACAAGATAGAATGTGGGTACTAGGTGTACAGGGACAAGATAGAATGTGGGTACTAGGTGTACAGGGACAAGATAGAATTTTGGTACTAGGTGTACAGGGACAATATATAAAATGTGGATACTCGGTGTATAGGGACAAGATAGAATGTGGGTACTAGGTGTACAGGGACAAGATAGGATGTGGGTACTAGGTGTACAGGGACAAGATAGAATGTGGGTACTTGGTGTACAGGGACAAGATAGAATGTGGGTACTTGGTGTACAGGGACAAGATAGAATGTGGGTACTCGGTGTACAGGGACAAGATAGAATATGGGTACTAGGTGTACAGGGACAAGATAGAATGTGGGTACTAGGTGTACAGGGACAAGATAGAATGTGGGTACTAGGTGTACAGGGACAAGATAGAATGTGGGTACTAGATGTACAGGGACAAGATAGAATGTGGGTACTCGGTGTACAGGGACAAGATAGAATGTGGGTACTAGGTGTACACGGACAAGATAGAATGTGGGTACTAGGTGTACAGGGATAAGACAGAATGTGGGTACTCGGTGTACAGGGACAAGATAGAATGTGGGTACTCGGTGTACAGGGATAAGACAGAATGTGGCTACTCGGTGTACAGGGATAAGACAGAATGTGGGTACTCGGTGTACAGGGACAAGATAGAATGTTGGTACTTGGTGTACAGGGACAAGATAGAATGTGGATGCTCGGTGTACAAGGACAAGATAGAATTTGGGTACTCGGTGTACAGGGACAAGATAGAATGTGGCTACTCAGTGTACAGGGACAAGATAGAATGTGGGTACTAGGTGTACAGGGACAAGATAGAATGTGGATGCTCGGTGTACAAGGACAAGATAGAATTTGGGTAATCGGTGTACAGGGACAAGATAGAATGTGGGTAATCGGTGTACAGGGACAAGACAGAATGTGGATGCTCGGTGTACAAGGACAAGATAGAATTTGGGTAATCGGTGTACAGGGATAAGATAGAATGTGGGTACTTGGTGTACAGGGATAAGACAGAATGTGGGTACTTGGTGTACAGTGACTGCAGAGTGTACACCATTAATGGAGTGGATAATATAATTAATATGTGGAAGATTGATAAAGAGCATTTGAATGACATGCGTGATTGGCAATTTCAACATACCATCAAGGCGCTTATCTCGCCTCACCAATAATAAACAATGACAATGCAGTTCCACACAAACACTTACCGCATAATCCGCATCCTCAGTGATGTTTTCGTAGTTGAGATCTTCGTAATATATGTTGAGTTTTATGAAGTTTTGTCTGTAAAAAAATATGATCTTAATAATAGCTCCAGTGTATGAGGGGCGGCGGGGTAGCCTGGTGGTTAAAGCATTCGCTCGTCACGCCAAAGACCCGGGTTCGATTCCCCATATGGGTACAATGTGTGAGGCCCATTCCTGGTGTCCCTCGCCTTGATATTGCTGGAATACTGCTAAAAGCGGCTTAAAACCATACTCACTCACTCCAGTATATGAATCATCATCTGAGCAACAATAAGCAAGGCAAGACCGATCAGAAACAATGCATCGATCGCACACGGAAGTTCCTAGTGTGCACTAAATGGCTGGGCAACATTTCTGGATATCGTATGATTTTAATAGTCAATGTTCGTATCTTAGCTTCAAGATTCAAGATTGTAACCCAACAAGACATATGTACGTCATATTTTGCACCTTATACATACATCGATGTATCAACGTCTTCATCATGATTGTACACGGGGATGGAATCTAAGATTGATAGGCATTGGTGTCATAAGACTGCGACAGACTGCTTTCGTCAATTGTACACGTCAGTTTGGTAGTGCAAATGTAGTTATTATGGTATGAACGTGTATCACAACTATCCCTCTTGTAGGGTACGTCGCCCTGCACCCTGTCATCAGGTATGACATCCTTCTCGTAGGGCACGTCCCTCTATCTCCTGTCTTCAGGTATGATTATCACTCTTGTAGGGCACGTCGCTCTGTTCCGTGTCATCAGGTATGACATTCTTCTTGTAGGGTCTGTCGCTCTGTCTCCTGTCATCAGGGACGACATCCTTCTTGTAGGGCACGTCGCTCTGACCCATGTCAGCAGGTATGACAATTCATCTTGTAGGGCACGTTTCTCTGTCCCCTATCATCAGGCATGACCATCCCTCTTGTAGCGCACGTCGCTCTGTCCGCTTTCATCAAGTATATGACATCATTCTTGTAGGGTATATCGCTCTGTCACCAGTTATGGGTTATGTATTTGATAAAACATTGATCATTGCAATGATTTGAGATATGTTTGTTTTTCAATGACAACATACACAACACTTTATATGAAGCACAGTTACGGTTTTCCTGTTAGTGTATGACAGTATCCTACTTTTCTATAACAATCAGTTGGACAACGTTGTACTTACGACAGCTGGTAGCCATCATATCGCCGTAGTCTCTTGCAGTGTTCCTCATCCGACTTAGCACATATCGCCTCCACCAGGACTTGCTGAAACAGATGAACGTAGAATCAACATCTGGCAGCAGCTGGACAAACTGTGGATCTACTGTGATACATCCGGATCTGAACCAACACGTCATGGCAAGGCAAAATGAACTCTTTTGCAGCACAAGCAGCTGCGCCAAAGACCTAGGCAAAGCGTTCTAACAACTGAGAGTGAGTGAGTGAGTTAATATTACGTAAAGGCCACACTTTTTGATGTAGACCATGTTGACAGAGAACAATGTTTCCAAAGGGAAAGGAAGAAAGGAATACTCACAGGTTAATATCACTCCTCTCATACAGACCCTCATGTTGTGTAGAACAATGTTTCCAATGCTTACACAGGTTAATATCACTCCTCTCATACAGACCCTCATGTTGAGAACAATGTTTCCCACAGGTTAATATCACTCCTCTCATACAGACCCTCATGTTGGAGAACAATGTTTCCCACAGGTTAATATCACTCCTCTCATACAGACCCTCATGTTGGACAACAATGTTTCCAACAGGTTAATATCACTCCTCTCATACAGACCCTCATGTTGGAGAACAATGTTTCCCACAGGTTAATATCACTCCTCTCATACAGACCCTCATGTTGGAGAACAATGTTTCCACAGGTTAATATCACTCCTCTCATACAGACCCTCATGTTGGAGAACAATGTTTCCCACAGGTTAATATCACTCCTCTCATACAGACCCTCATGTTGGAGAACAATGTTTCCCACAGGTTAATATCACTCCTCTCATACAGACCCTCATGTTGACAGAACAATGTTTCCCACAGGTTAATATCACTCCTCTCATACAGACCCTCATGTTGGAGAACAATGAACACAATGTTTCCCACAGGTTAATATCACTCCTCTCATACAGACCCTCATGTTGACAGAACAATGTTTCCCACAGGTTAATATCACTCCTCTCATACAGACCCTCATGTTGACAGAACAATGTTTCCCACAGGTTAATATCACTCCTCTCATACAGACCCTCATGTTGACAGAACAATGTTTCCAACAGGTTAATATCACTCCTCTCATACAGACCCTCATGTTGACAGAACAATGTTTCCCACAGGTTAATATCACTCCTCTCATACAGACCCTCATGTTGGAGAACAATGTTTCCCACAGGTTAATATCACTCCTCTCATACAGACCCTCATGTTGGAGAACAATGTTTCCCACAGGTTAATATCACTCCTCTCATACAGACCCTCATGTTGGAGAACAATGTTTCCCACAGGTTAATATCACTCCTCTCATACAGACCCTCATGTTGACAGAACAATGTTTCCCACAGGTTAATATCACTCCTCTCATACAGACCCTCATGTTGGAGAACAATGTTTCCCACAGGTTAATATCACTCATTCCTCATACAGACCCTATGTTGACAATACCCACAGGTTAATATCACTCCTCCCATACAGACCCTCATGTTGGAGAACAATGTTTCCCACAGGTTAATATCATCCTCGTCATACAGACCCTCATGTTGACAGAACAATGTTTCCCACAGGTTAATATCACTACCTCGTCTACAGACCCTCATGTTGGAGAGAACAATGTTTCCCACAGGTTAATATCCTCCTCTCATACAGACCCTCATGTTTGAGAACAATGTACAATACCTCGTCTCATACAGACCCTCATGTTGAGAACAATGTTTCCCACACTTACCTCACTCCTCTCATACAGACCCTCATGTTGGAGAACAATACACTACACTCGTCTACAGACCCTCATGTTTGATAACAATACACTACATCGGATGTAGATCCCTTACTCTATGGACTAGTGACCTCATGTTAATTCCTCTGTCTGAGGACAATACACTACCACCTTCATGGAGAACCCTGTTTGAGTATAATACACTACCACCTCTCATGGATTCCTCTGTTTGAGGACAATACACTACCCCCTTCATGGTTCCTCTGTCTGAGTATAATACACTACCACATGTTGGAGAACAATGTCTGAGTATAATACACTACCACCTTATGGATTCCTCTGTTGAGGACAACACACTACCACATTCATGGATTCCTCTGTCTGAGTATAATACACTATCACCTTCATGGATTCCTCTGTTGAGGACAACACACTACCACATTCATGGATTCCTCTGTCTGAGGACAATACACTACCACATTCATGGATTCCTCAGTCTAAGGACAATACACTACCACCTTCATGGATTCCCCTGTTTGAGTATAATACACTACCACCTTCTTGGATTCCTCTGTTGAGGACAACAAACTAACTGCCTTCCTGGATATATACAATATTTCCCACATTCATGGATTCCTGGCTGAGGACAATACACTACCACCTTCATGGATTCCTCATGTCTGTGGACAATACACTACCTGGTATGTAGGTCCCTCAGTCTATGGACAATACACTACCTCGTCTACAGACCCTCATGTTGGAGAAAAATACACTACCTCGTCTACAGACCCTCATGTTTGAGAACAGAACACTACCTCGTATGTAGGTCCCTCAGTCTATGGACAATACACTACCTCGTCTACAGACCCTCATGTTGGAGAAACAATACACTACCTCGTCTACAGACCCTCATGTTTGAGAACAATACACTAACTCGTCCACAGACCCTCATATTGGAGAACTAAATCGGATGTGGATCCATTATTCTATGGACTAGTGACTTCATGGATTCCTCTGTCCGAGAGTAACAATACACTACCACCTTCATGGATTCCCCTGTTTGAGTATAATACACTACCACATTCATGGATTCCCCTGTTTGAGTATAATAAACTACCACCTTCATGGATTCCTTTGTCTGAGGACAATAAACTACCACCTTCATGGATTCCTCAGTCTGAGGACAATACACTACCACCTTCATGGATTCCTCAGTCTGAGGACAATACACTACCACCTTCATGGATTCCTCAGTCTGAGGACAATACACTACCACCTTCATGGATTCCTCTGTCTGAGGACAATACACTACCACCTTCATGGATTCCTCTGTCTGAGGACAATACACTACCACCTTCATGGATTCCTCTGTCTGAGGACAATACACTACCACCTTCATGGATTCCTCTGTCTAAGGACAATACACTACCACCTTCATGGATTCCCCTGTTTGAGTATAATACACTACCACATTCATGGATTCCCCTGTTTGAGTATAATAAACTACCACCTTCATGGATTCCTTTGTCTGAGGACAATAAACTACCACCTTTATGGATTCCTCAGTCTGAGGACAATACACTACCACCTTCATGGATTCCTCAGTCTGAGGACAATACACTACCACCTTCATGGATTCCTCAGTCTGAGGACAATACACTACCACCTTCATGGATTCCTCAGTCTGAGGACAATACACTACCACCTTCATGGATTCCTCAGTCTGAGGACAATACACTACCACCTTCATGGATTCCTGTGTTTGAGTATAATATACTGCCACCTTCATGGATTCCCCTGTTTGAGTATAATAAACTACCACCTTCATGGATTCCTTTGTTTGAGTATAATACACTACCACCTCCATGGATTCCACTGTCTGAGGACAATACACTACCACCTTCATGGATTCCACTGTCTGAGGACAATACACTACCACCTTCATGGATTCCTCTGAGAACAATACACTACCACCTTCATGGATTCCTTAGTCTGAGTACAATACACTACCACCTTCATGGATTCCTCAGTCTGAGGACAATACACTACCACCTTGATGGATTCCACTGTCTGAGGACAATACACTACCACCTTCATGGATTCCTCAGTCTGAGGACAATACACTACCACCTTCATGGATTCCACTGTCTGAGGACAATACACTACCACCTTCATGGATTCCTTAGTCTGAGTACAATACACTACCACCTTCATGGATTCCTTAGTCTGAGTACAATACACTACCACATTCATGGATTCCTCAGTCCGATGAAAATACACTACCACCTTCATGGATTCCTCTGCTTGAGGACAATACACTACCACCTTGATGCATTCCTCTGTCTGAGGACAATACACTACCACCTTCATGGATTCCTTAGTCTGAGGACAATACCTACCGCCTTCATGGATTCCTCTGTCTGAGGACAATACACTACCACCTTCATGGATTCCTCAGTCTGAGGAAAATACACTACCACATTCATTGATTCCTCTGTCTGAGGACAGTGCACTACCACCTTCATGGATTCCTCTGTTTGAGGACAACACACTAACTGCCTTCATGGATTCCTCTGTCTGAGGACAATACACTACCGCCATCATGAATTCCTCTGTCTTAGGACAATACACAGCGTCCCGCCTTCATGGATTCCTCTGTATGAGGACAATACACAGCCACATTCATAGATTCCTCTGTCTGAGGACATAACCTACTTCATTCATACAGGACGAATTCTTATCGCCATAGTGGGACAAATGACCTTTGAATTTACTTTAGTTAGAGTGATTATGATCATGTCATGCGTATTTGCCTATGCTTTCAGCTAATGGGTTGCGGCGTACAGCATCATTCACTTCAATTCGATATACAGTTTTACCTGACTGATTCTTGCAGTCACTATGGGCGTCCGACAGATGAAATATCCTGTTCATATCCCCCTCTCGACCGTCATAGCATCCACATGCGTTCACGATGAGGCGCACGAGGCAGTAGTCCTGACAGGCCTGCAACGTGCATACAAACACAGGTACGAGAGGAAGCACTCCGGGGGAGGCAGCAACATTTGGGGATATTAATTATTCCCAGACTGGTTCCTGATTTACTGACATCACTGCACTACCACTAATGGCTTGATCGCATAATGGTTCATTTTTAACTAGCTTTATCGGAGAAATATTTATGATGAATTGGGGGGATTAGTCTGTATCATCTCACCTGTCGTGTGTATGTGACGTTAAAGTCCCTTTTGAACTGTATGCCGTCATCACAGTATCCATAGGGTCGACCGAGGCGCTGGATGTTTACCTGTACGTAGTTGGTGTTACAGCGTGAATATAGCCGTACAGTCATTTCGATATAAATTGGAAATAGTTCAGTTTAACCAGAGCGGACTGAGGTATAAAAACACTGCCCAAAGGACTGTGTCATTTGTGACATCGGACAATCATGGATATTGAATGGTAACGGACGTTAGCCATTGCGCGCGAGCACGCACGCACGCACACACACACGCACGCACGCACGCACGCACGCACACACACACACACCACCCCAACCTAACACACCTATTGCCCATGTCGGAACCTTTTATTTATTAGTAATTTATGTATATGTAAGAAGTTCATGTTGAGGTATATGGACTATAGTTGGTTACCCTCTTGAGGCCGATAAACGTCTCTGTTCCTCCCGATATTGCAACCCCGTTCTGTTCAAGAAGGGGCACGGTGCTCTTGTCGTGAACAACCAGGTGAGCGCCATTGCCGTTTGTCCAGCCACGTAGATATTCGTAGTTCTCCAGGAACAACACCATCTCAACACCTGAGGCAGAATATAAAGAGTCACGAAACATGCTCCCAGTAGCTATGTTGTACTTATACAACTGGTAGGTGTCACATTCACTCAGACTGTCATCTTTACATTGATCCACACGGCAGGTGCCTCGCTTACTCAGCTACATAATGCTACTCACCGTCATCAGGTCGACTCCTACGGTTATTGGTAACTCTGACCTGTTCACCAGCCATTATCGAATGCAACGTCTTCAGGTCCACTCTTCCGGTTACTGGTAACTATGACCTGTTCACCAGCCATTAACGAATGCAACGTCTTCAGGTCCACTCTTCCGGTTACTGGTAACTATGACCTGTTCACCAGCCATTAACGAATGCAACGTCTTCAGGTCCACTCTTCCGGTTACTGGTAACTATGACCTGTGCACCAGCCATTAACGAATGCAACGTCTTCAGGTCCACTCTTCCGGTTACTGGTAACTATGACCTGTTCACCAGCCATTAACGAATGCAACGTCTTCAGGTCTACACTTCCGGTTACTGGTAACTATGACCTGTGCACCAACCATTAAGGAATGCAACGTCTTCAGGTCCACTCTTCCGGTTACTGGTAACTATGACCTGTGCACCAGCCATTAACGAATGCAACGTCTTCAGGTCTACACTTCCGGTTACTGGTAACTATGACCTGTGCACCAACCATTAACGAATGCAACGTCTTCAGGTCCACTCTTCCGGTTACTGGTAACTATGACCTGTGCACCAGCCATTAACTAATGCAACGTCTTCAGGTCTACACTTCCGGTTACTGGTAACTATGACCTGTGCACCAGCCATTAACGAATGCAACGTCTTCAGGTCTACACTTCCGGTTACTGGTAACTATGACCTGTGCACCAACCATTAAGGAATGCAACGTCTTCAGGTCCACACTTCCGGTTACTGGTAACTATGACCTGTGCACCAGCCATTACGGAATGCAACGTCTTCAGGTCCACACTTCCGGTTACTGGTAACTATGACCTGTGCACCAACAAATAACTAATGCTACTCACCGTCATCAGGTCCACTCTTCCGGCTGATAAAGTCCGGGTACTCCAGGGTGAAACAGTTCCCGTAGGTCATGGAGTGGTGGATGAGGTAGTTACTGAAAACCATATGTTAAATATAATATGTCGAGCACTCTTACAAGACATAATGCCTTTCTCCCTGAAATCCTTTCCACGTCACATCTTCCAAACACACTTTACTACACTATACATGGGGGTGGAGCAGTCTAAGTAAACATAGGCTCAGTATTTTTCGTTACACTGCTATACTGAGTCTAACAAACCCTAGTAGAAGGTCGCGTCAGCTAACCTTTGAGCGACCTGTGACCGTGCAATCAAATGCGAGACGATCGAACGGATTTAACCAATCAGATAACGGCTACTGTTTAGGGTTCGGCGGGACTAAACCAAATTTCCCGGTCACTGACACTGATCTCTCAAAAAACGAAAATCCGCATAAAACACATATATTTGAACGGCAGTATATATGCTTAGGGGCTTCTGATGATATGGTTACCATTAGCTCATGTTTCCGCAAGCTGACATCCTTGAATATTGACAAAAACGCTATTTTCAGCGACTGTTCACTCACTGTTGTGACGTGCTCCAGGTGCATTACTCGGAAGCATTGGAATCGTTCGGGTACAAACCTTTTCGAGGTAAAAGTTCAAAAGGTATGTGCGGATGTCAACTTTCGCGATTTGGTAAGCTGTGTTCTGATTGGTCAATTGAAAAGGTTAGCTGACGCGACCTTCTACTAGGCTTTTTCCACAGTATAGCAGTGTAACGAATAATACTGACCCAAAGTTTACTTAGTCTGGGGGGTAGAGCGAACTGTATTTCTTTTCTAAGATGCCAAATTTAATACTCAAACACGATTAATCAAAACAGAAAACAAACAGGAAAGCGACGGTGTCTGCGTCTAAATTGACAATCCTCGTTCAGGGCTAACTGACGTGCTGTTCTATTGACGCTTCTTTCCCCCACGTTAAGACACGCGTTCCCAGGAAAACAGCTGATAAACAGTGTGATAACGGTTTACGTTCGGATTAAAGATCTTCTCTATATTATGATAATTACGTCCGTGATTATCGTAAACCATATGGGGCAAATATGAACGTCGCATTTCTACTACCAACGTAAGTTTAGAACTTCGAGACGAAACAGGTTTGTCACCCGACCTTCCACGGATGCATTCTGGGACTGTGGACATAGGCTTTGTTAGCGAACATGGCTGTATCGGTGTTTAATTGTGAATCGAGCTGAGACATGTGTTTAGTCGAAAAGGACAGACCTAATGTTTTCACCAGTGATGTTTGCCGAGTGACGCAACTGCAAACCGAGAAACATAGTGCTATGAGATAATGACATGTGCAGGGGCGGATACAGCTTTTTGAGAAAGGGGGGGTGCACACTATTGGGAAAAGGAGGGGTGCACACTTCATTTTTACCCGAGTTTCAATGGTCATGTAACAAACTTTCAGCACGAAAGGGGGGTGCGCACCCCTGCACCCCCCCTCTGGATCCGCCTATGATGTGACATGCATCGTGATGTAGGTTACCAAGGGTACGTTTGATAACGAGGTGGCCGCGAATGGCGTAATGGCGTCATTATAGTGTGACGTCATGCAAAAAGTGTACTTTATCGCCTGATACAGTACTGTCGGCGCCTTTGACCTTTTAGCGAAGCCTCTTACAACATCGAGCAAATGTTACGAGAGGTCCCTTATAAAGTTACCCGACACAAGAGACGAGTCAAAGGCTGCTCTTATACCTATCCTCACTGGTCTGTTGTTATTTTGGTGACCGAACCTACTTGTTTTTCACTGTTCTTCCGGCAAAGGAACTCTTCACCACAAGATCCCTCAGCTGGTGTCCAAGTTTGATACGTTTATATCTGTAGTGAATAAAGGGAATATTGTATTCATATAGGTATATTGAAAGCCGTGGAAAGGGGCAGATATTCTGGTATGAACTATAATGAAAGGTACTGTCTATACTGTAAATCTAATGGTATTGTATTAATTGAAGATGAATGGCATGTATTGGATGTGTTTGAGGCATACTCTAGTATCAGGAATAAATATCTTAAGAAATATTTTAGTAACTTCCCCACAATGATAAATTTTATATCTATTCTACAGAGTGAAAATAGGGATATGATAACAAAAGTATGTTTATTCTTATATCATATAAACAAGAAACACAAACTGTAAATACTGTAAATATGCGCTGATGTGTTACATATTTTCATGATTATATTATGGGCCGGAGGCCTTTCACTGAATAAAATGTCTGTCTGTCTATAGGTATATTGTATTCAGAGAAGGAGACGTGCTGGTCTGTGGTGAGTAAAGGGAATATTGTATTGATCGAAGGAGAGGATCAGGTCTGTAGTGAGTAAAGGGAATATTGTATTGAAGAAAGGGGACGTTCAGGTCTGTAGTGACTAAAGTGAATGTTGTACTGAGGGAAGGAGACGTTCAGGTCTGTAGTGAGTAAAGGGAATATTGTACTGAAGAAAGGGGACGTTCAGGTCTGTAGTGAGTAAAGGGAATATTGTACTGAAGAAAGGGGACGTTCAGGTCTGTGAGTAATGAGTAAAGGGGGATATTGTATTGAAGAAAGGGGACGTTCAGGTCTGTAGTGAGTAAAAGGGAATATTGTACTGAAGAAAGGGACGTTCAGGTCTGTAGTGAGTAAAGGGAATATTGTACTGAAGAAAGGAGACGTTCAGGTCTGTGAGTGGGAGTAAAGGGAATATTGTATTGAGGGGGAAGAGACGTTTAGGTCTGTAGTGAGTAAGGGAATATTGTACTGAAGAAAGGGACGTTCAGGTCTGTAGTGAGTAAAGGGAATATTGTACTGAAGAAAGGGACGTTCAGGTCTGTTGTGAGTAAAGGGAATATTGTACTGAAGAAAGGGGACGTTCAGGTCTGTAGTGAGTAAAGGGAATATTGTACTGAAGAAAGAAGAGACGTTCAGGTCTGTAGTGAGTAATGGAAATATTGTACTGAAGAAAGGGGACGTTCAGGTCTGTAGTGAGTAAAGGGAATATTGTACTGAAGAAAGGGACGTTCAGGTCTGTAGTGAGTAAAGGGAATATTGTACTGAAGAAAGGGGACGTTCAGGTCTGTAGTGAGTAAAGGGAATATTGTACTGAAGAAAGGGGACGTTCAGGTCTGTAGTGACTAAAGGGAAGGTTGTATTGAGGGAAGGAGAGGTTCAGGTCTGTAGTGAGTACAGGGAATATTTGGTTCATTACCTTGGTAATGGGAAGGAGACGTTCAGGTCTGTAGTGACTAAAGGGAATATTGTATTGACGGAAGGAGACGTTCAGGTCTGTAGTGAGTAAAGGGAATATTTGGTTCATTACCTTGGTAATGGGAAGGAGACGTTCAGGTCTGTAGTGAGTAAAGGGAATATTGTATTGGCGGAAGGAGATGTTCAGGTCTGTAGTGAGTAAAGGAATATTGTATTGACGGAAAGAGTCGTTCAGGTCTGTAGTGAGTAAAGGGAATATTGTATTGAGGGAAGGAGACGTTCAGGTCTGTAGTGAGTAAAGGGAATATTGTATAGAAGGAAGGAGACGTTCAGGTCTGTAGTGAGTAAAGGGAATATTGTATAGAAGGAAGGAGACGTTCAGGTCTGTAGTGAGTAAAGGGAATATTGTATTGACGGAAGGAGACGTTCAGGTCTGTAGTGAGTAAAGGGAATATTGTATAGAAGGAAGGAGACGTTCAGGTCTGTAGTGAGTAAAGGGAATATTGTATTGACGGAAGGAGACATTCAGGTCTGTAGTGAGTAAGGGGAATATTGTATTGACGGAAGGAGACGTTCAGGTCTGTAGTGGGTAAAGGGAATATTGTATTGAGGGAAGGAGACGTTCAGGTCTGTAGTGAGTAAAGGGAATATTGTATTGAGGGAAGGAGACGTTCAGGTCTGTAGTGAGTAAAGGGAATATTGTATTGAGGGAAGGAGAGGTTCAGGTCTGTAGTGAGTAAAGGGAATATTGTATAGAAGGAAGGAGACGTTCAGGTCTGTAGTGAGTAAAGGGAATATTGTATAGAAGGAAGGAGACGTTCAGGTCTGTAGTGAGTAAAGGGAATATTGTATTGACGGAAGGAGACTTTTAGGTCTGTGGGAAATGCTGGGGACAGAGTATTTATACAAGGACACCACATGTTTAGCTCTATCAGGAAAACAGAGAATACAGTATTCAGACAGGGACACTCTTAAGTCAGTGGCGATGGTTCGTTTGGTGCATTACCTTGGTATCTTACTGTACAGGTCTTCAAATTCATGCTCAATTTCAGATTCTGTCGTTCTTGGTGATTCTTTTTGCCATTGGTCATTGAAGTCGTTATTGATGGTGTCAGAGATGTTGACGTAGGAGTTTGTGACGTTAACTTTAAAATCGTCCAAATAACGTTTACGTCTTCGCTTGCCGGAGCTACCTGTGGACACATACACATGGTAACACCATCTTGGAACTGAGTAAACTAGATATACGGAACAATACTGTATCGGACTGAGGCTGGTTGTATAGTCCTAGCGCATTGACTTTCCATGTTGTAACCTCTATAGTACTTCCCATCTGACTGGCCGAGAATGGCATATTTTATCATCCTCCGGTATTACGCAGACGTAGGATCGAACCTCCGACCTCACGCTGTCAGACAGGGGCATTGTCCACGGTCCGGTCTACTCTGTACCTTAGCATTAGGTACTCTGTACCCTCTGCACTATCAAGCATCACACACGAACTACATTCCTTCATCTACGGGCCATTTGTCACTAAACATGGTCAACATACATGCTCTTCATTTTTAACTTCTGACGTTCATTAGGGGTCAAGCCTAGCCAAGCGAAACCGCCATATCTCTTCATACTTATAGATCTCTGCATAAAATATTCAAACTGACGAAAGGCTATCCAAAGACTGTATGACACGAGTGGTGACCTGAACTTTCCCGAGTAAACTTTCCTTTGATGTCAAATATTCAATCAGCTCCAGCCTTTGGAGTTTACAACTGGTTGAAGTACACTTGAGCAGGCGTATTCTTTGAAGATGTCAAAGAGACTGTGGGTATTTTGGTCAAAAGATCAGAGTTACAATATTCAAGGCCTTAGTTAAGGTTTTAAAGGGTTTATGGTAGATAGGCGTAGGACGATGTACACTGCTAGTCCATATTTAAACTTGTATCATATGTTCATGATAGGTTTTTAAAGGTTAACTCTATGCCTCTGTTTGTGAAGGGTGGCAGTAGTACGTCAGGATACGTTCACCCCATTACCATTACTGAGAGTCATCCGTGCTTGTGGAATTGTCGAAATAAGGACACGTCTTATAATTATGGAAAGCGCTTTACCTCTTATATTTCTGTTATGTATATGACATTTACTTTCATAGACGTCTTACTTGGTGGTCGAGGGCTACTTCCGGTCCCTGATGCTACGGTACTTCCGGCCCCTGATGCTGCGGTACTTCCGGGTCCTGATCCTGCGGTACTTCCGGTCCCTGATGCTTGGGTACTGCCACTTGCGGATGGTTCTGCGGCTGAATTAGTGTTCTGGGAAAAATATAACAACACATACGTTAATAAAGGCCCAAACTTCATCAATAGAAAACAAGTCAAAACATTGATTACACAACAGTGTCGTTTCCTTTTGACTGCGCTCCGTCCTATTGCGCAACTTAGTACAATAACCAGTCCAGAATTTGAGACCAATTCATTTAGCTGGATACATAATCAGTATTATTTGATACATCCAAGCACTTGTATATTACAACACTACGCTCCTTATAATCCTTGCAAACACGTCGTGCGGCGTGCTCTGTTGTACAGCGTGCACCGACAAACAGAAACTTGGAAATCGAGGAAATCTCTAAACAAGGCTCTCCCGCTAGAAAAGTTTGGCGGTCTGGTACGGACTTGATATATCAATCACATTGTGCGTTACAGAACTACAGTCCGTTTGAGTCAGAAACGGACCGATGAATTGCAAATTTTATCATTGTACAAAATTGCCACATAAATACAAATAGTACACATGTTTATCATTTACTAATACCCAACAGCTTTCTTATATATAAAAATTTTCCGGACTCCACCAAACAAGTTGTTTAAGAAACTATCATCATTGAAAACGCAAAAGTTGTTATCTGTTGCGGCGGGGTGAAACCGCGGAAACGGAACAGCCACTATCTCGTCGTGCACGGGATACACATGCCTGATGAAAAATGAAGTTGAATGCTGACGTGAAACAGTTGATGATTAAAGTGTACGATTTTTTTCCTTGCTGAAGCCGAAAGGGGCAAACCATTTTATGCCATTAATAAATTCCGTAAGCGGGCAGCAAAAGCTTTAGGAGTATCAGCAAGGGTACTGACAAATGTTCTGGAACGCAAACATTGTGAGGCTGATGCGAAGCAGGTAGGGGTCGTGTCAAAATCACACAAATTAAAACATTTGGACAACTTTCAAAAGAACCTTGTAAGGCAGTCTATCAACAAGCTCTATTCTGAAAACAAATACATGTCGCTGAAAATTTTATAAAAGCATTTGAAGCAAGAACACAACCTCAGAGTATCAAAGTACACACTCTGGCGACTCTTACACTCTTTCGGGTATCGTTATAAGAAAATTTCGGGGGGAGAATAGGTCAGTACTCTGTGAACGCCCTGATTTCGTTCGCTTGAGAAATAATTTTCTCAGGGTTATACAGAAGAAGCGCGAGGAAGGGTTGGAGCCAGTGTACTTGGACGAGACCTGGGCCAATGCCTTGCACACTGCCAGCAGTCAGTGGATACCCGATGGGGGTGATAAGGGGTCACGTAGAAAGCTGCCTCTAGGGAAAGGAGAGAGACTAATCATTTTCCATGCTGGTTGCTCCAGCAAAGGCTTTCTCCCAGGCTGCGACTTGGTATTCAGGGCAAAGTCAACAGATAAAAGAGACTACCATTCCGAGATGAATGGTGCGGTTTTCCTCGATTGGGTTAAAAACAAGTTGGTACCAGCTCTACCAGAGAAGTCTTTTATCGTAGTGGACAATGCCCCATACTACAGCGTGCAGGACCCCGACAGTAAAGCCCCGACATCGAACAGTCGAAAAGGTGATATGATATTATGGCTCAACAAATTTCAGATCGCAAGGCCTTCAAAGGCAACGAAGCCTCAGCTATATGAGATCAAAATACCCACAAAGGTGAACCTTTCTACAAAGTTGACAGTTACATAAAAAGTAAGGGTCACGATATTCTGCGACTTCCACCCTATCACTGTGACCTTAACCCCATTGAAATGATATGGGGTATTGTCAAAGGAGATGTTGCCAGATCAAACACAACTTTTAGATTATGTGACGTAGAGGTTTTGGTTAAGGAATCCCTTAACAAAATCACGACTGAAACTTGGCAAAACTGTGTCAACAAGGTAGCTAACGTCATTGAACAAGGTTACTGGTCTCGGGATGGCTTACAACAGGCAACTGTGGCACCACTTGTCATCCCTTTAAGTCGTGACTATGACACTACGACGGACGAGGAACCGACAGGTCTCCCGGAATAGATTTTGAGATGTCCCCGCCATGACTGGCTGTTCCGTTTCTGCGGTTTCACCCCGCCGCAACAGATAACAACTTTTGCGTTTTCAATGATGATAGTTTCTTAAACAACTTGTTTGGTGGAGTCCGGAAAATTTTCAAATATGAGAAAGCTGTTGGGTATTAGTAAATGATAAACATGTGTACTATTTATCAAATATATTTATGTGGCAATTTTGTACAATGATAAAATATGCAATTCATCGGTCCGTTTCTGACTCAAACGGACTGTACACTGAATAAGCGTAAAAAACACTTAACATGTGTAACCAGTGAGCCAGGTGCATTGTGAATCATTTTACGACCTCATCAAACTGGGGCAGTCTGTGACGTCTTAGTTAAGGTCATGCTGCCTAAACCTCGTCACAAAATATAGAAATACGATGTTATTAAAGTTTAAAATTAAAATTTATTTGTAAATGCCATTTTCTTCTGAAAATTAGGTCATTGTCTGAATAGGTTAATGAGACTCATGTTTCGGTTTGTAAGAATCTGTATTTGGGAAGCCATACTCACGTTGAGGTACCGGATGAGGTTGGTAGTGTTGGTATTCTGCATAAGGGCCTGCATCTGAGGGCCGGCCTCAGCCAGCTTGGAGACCCGGATAGGGTTGATGTTACACACGGTCACGGCTGGAAATGACAAGCTGTCGAAACCAAGCTCAAGTTTCGTCTGAATTGGGTAAAGAAAGTACACCTTACCCAGGTAGGAGAGGTGGAAGAGCATCGCTGCACATCCTCCGAGGACGATAATGAGCCAAATGCCCTTGGACCACAGCCTCCGGGAGTGATGGATATAGTTGACGCCCATCATAGATGTCATGTCCGCAAACTCGGCGGTTACAGATTTGGCCGTTTTCTTCGGGCGCTCTTCCGGTTCGGAGTTCTCTTCTGACTTGGGCATCTTGTAGTGAGGATCGTAAGAACCGGACATCTGTAACACAGAGTCAAATGAAAATGGAACCCATTCATCAAGACCACAAATGAAAATGGAACCCTGTCATCAAGACCACAATAGACCGCATTCTAAGAAATGACTATTTCCAAAACGAACAACATAAAGAAATACGTATTTGTTATCCTAAAACTCTGGAGACAATTCTGACGGCATCGGTAACAATCAGATGACAATCAGAATGTGATGGAAAATTGTACAAATATGTGTCAAGATTATTTTTTTATTTTTTTATTTTTATTTAGGAACCGTTTGCCATCCTACTTGAGATACAGTGCAGTATCAATATTTTGATACAAACAATGTTACGCAACCATGACAAAACTTGAGTTGAACTAACTACAACCTGATTATTCAATTTGAGATTTCTCAGACTTTGAACATTGCTTCCTTAGCTACTATTTGCTTCTGTCATGTTGCGTGGTTAGCGCGGTCATGTTGCGTGGTTAGCCTGACACAACAAGGTAACGGATGATGGCAAGTCGTAATTAGCGACAACAATAAGTGTCATGCCACAGAACTGATAACGGATGATAGCATGTAGTTTGCGACACCAATAAGTGTTATGCCACAGTATAGATAACGGATGATAACATTTATTTTGCGACACCAATACATGTTATGCCACAGTATAGACAACGGATGATAGCATTTAGTTTGCGACAACAATAAGTGTTATGCCACAGTATAGACAACGGATGATAGCATTTAGTTTGCGACAATAATAAGTGTTATGCCACACTATAGATAACGGATGATAGCATTTAGTTTGCGACACCAATACATGTTATGCCACAGTATAGATAACGGATGATAACATTTATTTTGCGACACCAATACATGTTATGCCACAGTATAGACAACGGATGATAGCATTTAGTTTGCGACAACAATAAGTGTTATGCCACAGTATAGACAACGGATGATAGCATTTAGTTTGCGACAATAATAAGTGTTATGCCACAGTATAGACAACGGATGATAGCATTTAGTTTGCGACAACAATAAGTGTTATGCCACAGTACCGATAACGGATAATAACATTTATTTTGCGACACCAATACATGTTATGCCACAGTACTGCTAAATGAAGATGGCATGAAGTAATTGTAACCAGACAGACAGTGGTACTCACTGATGTGCTGAGTCGTCGAGCTACCTTCTGTCCCCAGGTAGCGCCGTCCATGACACACGCAATTGCGTTTGTGTTACAATACCATACATCTTCCTTATAAACACCACCTACTTCATACAGACAGGTCATGTGACCTATCAAATGTCTGCGCGTGCGGTGATACTACTTGGTGAAATCACCGAGTCACGTGACGCATTAGTTTAGGCGTTGATTGACTTAAATGCTTTGGTGGGATTTGCCAAACAGATTCTACCCAGATGTATCATTACAAACAGACAGCAATTATATCAAAACAAACGTGACGACACAGCTGAGTTGCCTTTGTTTCTACCGCAGTAATCTGATAAAACCTTTTACTCAGATTTCTATTAATATTATGTTAACAAAAGTTGAACATTAACCGGTTTCAACTAATGATTCAGACAATACTATCAGTACATTAGTTGATCAAATATTCCTACTTGTTGATTAACACTTCTGTTTGTTCCAGTTAACAGCTCAGTATTTGTGTCGGGAAATCTATGCCATGTGTGTACAGCATACATCCAGGCCTCGTTATTAATACATTTTGTTGAAGTGTTGAATTACAATTTGAAGTTTATTTATTTAATCACCTCTTTTTAATATCGTCCTCGCACACGCAAATAGAGTATAAGATATTTCACGAAACCCAAAAAAGCGATCTCTTGCAACGTTGTGGTAGTGATTATATCACTATGATGAGGCATATTTATATATATATTCAGCAAAAAATATTGTGTTAATGATAAATATTCATGGCTGCCCAGCACGAGTGCAGCCACATCCCTGTTCAGAGTCGTCCGATAGCCATGTTTTCCGGAGCCGCGAAAACCACGACCACGTCACAGCCGAGGGAGTCGTTACTGCAGCCGTAGCGCTCCTAGCTTTCCACGCTCCACTTTAAAACTATAAACCTTAATAGGTAGGGAATGTAGTGTGATTATTCAGCACGCGGTGATACGAGCTCTACCATACATCATTAAGTTTGTCACTAACATCGATTATGCTGTTAGTTCATTGGGATGCTATATCACAGTGCGGCCATCATTAATGTATTATCCACGGAATTAAGTAAATATATTGCATGTATCGGGAGTGCTCGCATGAGTGACTGTGAAATTGTCTAACATTGTGATGGAACAGAATACATTACAATTAAACCTTTTAGTCATTTCTTGTTAAGAAACATCGACAGTACCAAGTTAGGTTAACCTTTTATCTGGTCAATAGAAATAATGTGTTGTTGCAATTACATGTATATATCAGATGTAGTTGCCATAGCGACCAGGACGCTTGACGTATAAACACTGCTGCAGCACGTCCAACCTGGACTGATCTCCCTAAGTTACATCAGTAATCGTACTGACAACCAACTCGGAGGCACGAAATATTTACCGAGACAGCAAACAAAACTTCCACTGTAACAATTGGTTCATTCAAATGATGGAGTGTGAAAGGAAAATCCATTATGTGTTTCTATATTCATCAATTATTGTCATGTGAAGGCCATTCTACTTGATTTAGTTTAGCCAAACAAGTTAGCTTTTCTGATTGCCCGGATATATCGTCTTCCATCATCCCAACTCCTCAGCATTGTGTAAGGATGAAGTGCATTTCAAAGTCCATGAAGCAAATTATTTTCCCTTCCTCTGAGCTCTTTCGACTATACAAAATCCTAAATGAAGTCAATAGCTGGAGAGCTGATTTGCAGGTGACAATTCATATGATGGTGAAGAAGCAAATGATAATTACCTGGAATGGCCGACGTATGACGGCCTACAGGTCTAGTAACCGTCGGGCAGGTAATTTAGATGCAGTCAGACTGTAAGTTATTATTTGCCAATCTTCTTGCGTTGTTTGTGAGACAGTGCGTGTCGTTCACAACTAGGGCACGGTGTGAATACACCCACATGGAAAGGTTACCTCCAGGAAGGATTAATTCCCATTATCAGAGCACACGGCATAAAAGAAGTACACAAACCCTTACTATGGACTCCGTGTTAAACACACGCCAGTTTTCTCAAACCATATGGGGATCGAATGTACATGAGCTTATCTTCTAGAATGAGGCACCCCAATTTCATACTCTTTAAAATACTCGTGAAGGGCCGGGTTAGACTATTGATCTTCAGTAACCCATGCTTGACATAAGAGGCGACTAACGGGATCGGGTGGTCAGGATCGCTGACTTGGTTGACACATGTCATCGGTTCCCAATTGCGCAGATCGATCCTCATGCTGTTGATCCCTAGATTGTCTGGTCCAGACTCGATTATTTACAGACCGCCGCCATATAGCTGTAATATTGCTGAGTGCGGCGTAAAACTAACTCACTCACTACTCTTTAAGAATATTAGTGTAAGAGTTTGTAAACCTGCCACTGGAACTCTGCAAATTTCGAGTAATTTTAATTGGACAATTTCGAAATGCTTGAAACAGTACAACTAATATTCAATTCCCACCATCAACGAACCATTTAGAATCGCCGTTGTCTGTCATCATGCCATGACGCACATGTATACCTTCAACTGTACGTCAGTATAGTTAACAACTGATCTGTCAACACATCCAGTATATCATTGGTTGAAATAACAACTGATCTGTCAACACATCCAGTATATCATTGGTTGAAATGAGCTATATGTGTAACACCTGACCTACATGTATATACCTTTCAAACAACTACTGGATGATATGACCTGTTTTATTAACATCGATCCATATAACGAATGCTGATATGAACTGTATGGTTGAGGTGTGACCTATCAATATGTCCAACATACAACTGGTTGATATGAACTGCCTGGTTGAGGTATGACCTATCAATATGTCCAACATACAAACCGGTTGATATGAACTGTATGGTTGCGGTATGACCTATCAATATATCCAACATACTACTGGATGATATGAACTGTATGGTTGAGGTATGACCTATGCAACATACTACTGGTTGATATGAGCTGCCTGGTTGAGGTATGACCTATCAATATGTCCAACATACTACTGGTTGATATGAACTGTATGGTTGAGGTATGACCTATCAATATGTCCAACATACAACTGGTTGATATGAACTGTATGGTTGCGGTATGACCTATCAATATATCCAACATACAACTGGTTGATATGAACTGTATGGTTGCGGTATGACCTATGAATATAACCAACATGCTATTGCTTGATGAACCGTATGGTTGAGTAGGGATCTATCAATATATCCAGCATACTACTGGTTGATATGAACTGTATGGTTGAGGTGTGACCTAGCAATATATCCAGCATACTACTGGTTGATATGAACTGTATGGTTGAGGTATGACCTATGAATATAACCAACATACTATTGCTTGATGAACCGTATGGTTGAGGTGTGACTTATCAATATATCCAGCATACAACTGGTTGATATGAACTGTTTGTTTGAGGTATGACCTATCAATATGCCCAACATACTAAGGGTTGATATGAAATGCATGGTTGAGGTATGACCTATGAATAAAACCAACATACTATTGCTTGATGAACCGTATGGTTGAGGTGTGACCTATCAATATATCCAGCATACTACTGGTTGATATAAACTGTATGGTTGAGGTATGACCTATGAATAAAACCAACATACTATTGCTTGATGAACCGTATGGTTGAGGTGTGACCTATCAATATATCCAGCATACTACTGGTTGATATAAACTGTATGGTTGAGGTATGACCTATGAATAAAACCAACATACTATTGCTTGATGAACCGTATGGTTGAGGTGTGACCTATCAATATATCCAGCATACTACTGGTTGATATGAAATGCATGGTTGAGGTATGACCTATGAATATGTCCAACATACTACTGGTTGATATAAACTGTATGGTTGAGGTGTGACCTATGAATATGTCCAACATACTACTGGTTGATATGAACTGTTCGGCAGAGGTATGCCCTATCAATATGTCCAACATATAACTGGATGATATGAACTGTATGGTTGAAGTGTGACCGATCAATATATCCAGCATACACTTGGTGAACATATGAACTGTATGGTTAAGGTGTGACTTATCAATATATCCAGCATACAACTGGTTGATATGAACTGTATGGTCCTGGTTGATATGAACTGTATGGTCCTGGTTGATATGAACTGTATGGTCCTGGTTGATATGGCCAGTATGGTCCTGGTTGATATGAATTGTACGGTAGAGGTATGACCTATCAAGATATCCAGCATACTACTGGTTGATATGAACTGTACGGTAGAGGTATGACCTATCAATATATCTAACATACAACTGGTTGATATGAACTGTATGGTCCTGGTTGATATGAACTGTACGGTAGAGGTATGACCTATCAATATATCCAGCATACAACTGGTTGATATGAACTGTACGGTAGAGGTATGACCTATCAATATATCTAACATACAACTGGTTGATATAAACTGTATGGTCCTGGTTGATATGAACTGTACGGTAGAGGTATGACCTATCAATATATTTAGCATACAACTGGTTGATATGAACTGTATGGTCCTGGTTGATATGGCCTGTATGGTCCTGGTTGATATGAACTGTACGGTAGAGGTATGACCTATCAAGATATCCAGCATACTACCGGTTGATATGAACTGTACGGTAGAGGTATGACCTATCAATATATCTAACATACAACTGGTTGATATGAATTGTATGGTCCTGGTTGATATGAACTGTACGGTAGAGGTATGACCTATCAATATATCCAGCATACAACTGGTTGATATGAACTGTATGGTCCTGGTTGATATGAACTGTATGGTCCTGGTTGATATAAACTGTATGGTCCTGGTTGATATGAACTGTACGGTAGAGGTATGACCTATCAAGATATCCAGCATACAACTGGTTGATATGAACTGTACGGTAGAGGTATGACCTATCAATATATCTAACATACAACTGGTTGATATGAACTGTATGGGCCTGGTTGATATGAACTGTATGGTCCTGGTTGATATGAACTGTATGATTCTGGTTGATATGGCCTGTACGGTTGAGGTGAAGTGAACATGTAAACCTTTATAGTTATTAACTAGTTCTATGGTTGAGTGTTCGTTCAGTAAAGCCTGTCAAAACCCAAGGCAAGGAATGTCATCAACAGATCAGCAGGTATTAGTCGCACCAGGGCACGCCTGGTTGGTTCGGGAGCATTAATCAAGTGTCAACAGAAAGACTTTTTAGAAAGGTCTAACTTTGCTATAACTCATGCTACATAATATGTAGGTACGAGTGAATAGGGGTTATTGGCAGAGGTACAACGAATGCACTGAAGGACAGCATAATAAAGATGGGGCGAGATAAACAACTGAAAGTGGATAAAAGGGTAGNTACTGGTGGACTGGGGTATGGTAGAGAAAAAGGACAGTGAGAAGACCGACAAATGGGGCGAGATAAAGGAGAGAGAGGGGCATGGGACAAGGTGGAGACAGAGGGTAGAGAGAAGAGTGGGGAATGGGGATAAATAAAGGAATGAGAGGGCACAGGGAAGAGGGTAAACATAGAGAATATAAATAATGGGTAGAAACTGATCTCCACGAAACCAGCATGGGGAGTTCGAGGAATGGTATGCCACGAATTCCTAAAATGTTACAAGAATGGGGAACTGGGGACTTTTTCTGTCCCGGAATCCCTACAGAGAATAAGGCATGGGTTACTGGGGATCTATTCCTGGGCATCTCAACAGTGAGACAATAAAGTATTGGGGAGTGGGAACCTGTTTTTCCGGGGATCCCTGCAGATGTACATACATAGAGAACTGGGTACATTTTCCTCTAAGGAGACAGTTTTCAACTGCTAACTGTATAAACACAGACAATACAAACAAAGAGTTAAAGTATCACGGATACCTGTGACATTGCCCTGTCAGTGTAGAACCTCCGGTCTGTGTAGGGGAATCCGTGTGAATCCATATGTGCGTGGAGATGAGTGTAGTCTCGGTATGTCAGGTTGGATGTCACCTCCAAGCAGCAGCCTCTAAAAAACGTCAACTCCTTGTTGATACCCCGTCTACAAGGCCATGACGATGCTGAAACCCTCTCCCACGACACGCTCTATAATTCGACGGTCATGTGACATTGACATCGGGAGGTGACGCAGCTACTATTCATTATTCGGCAAGGGTGTATGCAGCACTTATACTTACCCATTATATCAGACAATTTATCTCTCAAAGAGGCAATCAGACCGTGACGGTGACTGATTTCTGGGTGTTAGTGGAAGGAAGACATCGTGACAAAAACTTCAGACCGGCTTAAATATAGTTCCCATTTTTAGATATTCGTGATTGTGTTTTGATGACCAGTGCCCCAAAGTGACTCACATAGCGTTTGGCATGTTGCTTGCTAGTTTGAGTTTGTTCGTCGTGACAGTTTCACAACAGGCGTGCTCTGTGGAAGGTGACGGATTCCTCCCACAGCACCTACATGATGATTGAGGAGCGGTAGGTTGTAGGGGGGTGTTTGGAGCTTGGTACATGCTCAAGTGGCCGTAGGGCGGTCGGGTAGCCTAGTGGTTAAAGCGTTCGCTCGTCACGCCGAAGGCCCGGGTTCGATTGCCCACACGGGTACAATGTGTGAAGCCCATTTCTGGTGACCCAGCCGTGATAGTGCTCGGATGTTGCTAAAAGCGGCTTAAAACTACTCACTCACTCAAGTGGTGTTTTGATAGCAGGAAAATACAACCTCTATTGTGTTAGTGAGCAGGGAGGGCTGATACTGCAAGGAGGTATACACCATTGCTTGATGGTGCTCTGATTGAATCAAACATGAACAGGGTATTGGACGGTGATGTATTAAATATGGCGATCATAGTTGAGTTATTGGCTTTAGTTTTGTACTGTTTCGCTGACTGACCTCAATCCAGTAACGATTTTGGTCGTTTTGAGGTAAAAATCAATTTCGAGTATTCACTATTTTTGTCTGAAAACAAACAAGGTGGTGTTCAATGCTCATCTAATTTCTTCGTACCAGACATTACGAGCGTGGCCATGTTTCTAGTGTATCACTTCCTTATCAAAGCGGATATCCTGCTAGACTTACATCAACTGATCACACTGCTTATGTGGAGATTAACATGAGGATGAATTTCGAAATCTCAGCTTAAAAAATACCGTAGAACAGGAGCGTTGTTTCTTTCATGCATGAATAATTTTTGTTCAGTACAGGTGCATGATAACTAACACTGACATAGATAGGGGTGTTACGACGTAAATTGTAATAAAACGCAAATTGTTATACTTGCAGCAAATTGTAATAAACTTGACGTAAATTGTAATAAAAACGTAAATTGTAATAAAAATTGACGTAAATTGTAATACGCAAATTGTAATAAAAATTGACGTAAATTGTAATACTTTTCGTTGCGGTAAAATGTAATAAATATTTACGTAAATTGTAATTTACAGTTTTAATCACTCGTAAATACGCGGGTGTTTGTTTTTCGTTGCATTTCATACATCAAATAAGCTTGTTAGCGCGATAACTCAAGAAAGAAATGATGGATTTTGTTCAAATTTGGTACCAAGGTATATTGGTGAGATTCACCGACACAAGTAAAATGGAGTGACCTTGAGATAATTTTCAAGGTCACAGCAAAAATCTGAGGGTTTTGCCAATATAAAGATTGTTAGCGCGATAACCCAAGAAAGAATTGACAAATCTTAACCAAATGACGAAAATAATATTCGTCCTGACATAGAATCGATATAAACTGTCCTCTGTATCATGTCTTTTTGCAAATATCTTTTGAGGTTTTGATATGTATAAATATAAAGTAGGGTGGGGTGGGGATGGGTTTCTAACGGTTATAACAAATCAAATCAAATCAAATTAGACATTTGTATAACGCTACATATCCAGAGTCCTGCTCATGTGCGCTTAGTCGAATGCTCGTTTGAAGAGGATGGTTTTGAGACACGATCGGAAACTGTTGATATTTTCCGATTTTCTGACATTTTCAGGTAATCAATTCCAGAGTACAGCACCCGGTCTGCTAAATGATCTGTCTCCGTATGTTGTGGTTCGGACAAATGGAATAGCCTAGCTGACTAGCAATGAAATGCATCACAAATTAAACTTCAGGAAACAAAATATGCAAGAAACATTTTTGTATGTTTGAGATTGGTAGAGGTCGGCTAGAATCAAACTTAGATATTAAACTGCACAAAAAGGCAATTTGAAACTACAATCGCTTTTTCAAATGACTACCTCTTCGGTTTACTGAAAGAACTCGAGAAAGAAATAATGGATTTTGTTCAAATTTGGTACCAAGGTTTATTGACGAGATTTACCGACACCACTTGAATTTTGTGACCTTGAGGTCATTTTAAAGGTCACAGCGAAGGTGTAACAGTTTTGCACACGCCAAGCTTGGTAGCCGCGAACTCAGGAAAGAATTAATAGATTTTGATCCAATTTTATATCAAGGTGTATTGATGGGAATCCCCCTGCACCAATTGAAACAAAATATGCAAAAAACATGTTGTATGTTGGTAAAAGTCAAACTTAGATATTAAACTGCACAAAAAAGCAATTTTAAACTATAATCGCTTGTTCAAGTGACTCCCCATTCATGTTTACTGAAAGGGCTTGTTTTGGAGACACTACCAACCCCCTTTCAGTTGACGTCATCATAAGGATATAACTCATCCTAAAGTTTTCACTTATTCATACATGGTGTCAAGGGTTCAAACTAAATACTGAATGGTCACACAAGTGTCAGCTCTCAATATGTTGTATATCTGGACACAATGTTTTTGAAAATTTAAAATGAGGGTGTCTGTCCTCAGTCCCCGTCTAAATGTAAATCAAGCAATCCAAATCTTTGAATGTTGATGATGACGGGAAGTCATCCAATATTACGCTGAACATATTTTATATGATACTATCTGAGGGTATACCATTATCCAAGAGATAGCGCAATAGTGCAGTTGTAAGGCGTCTGCCTATCACGCTGAAGGGCCTGTTTCGAGGGGGCACCTAGGTTCGGGTCCCGAGATGGGGCACATTTGCGTAGTATCCTTGGACAAGATACTTAGATCTACACTAACTCAGTTCACCCAGCTGTAAAATGGGTCCCCTTGAGTATGTGCTGGCAATGTGAGTGTTTAGTTCATTGCGCCTAACATGCAGCATGGCTGTACAGTCCCTACGATAGTGTCCTATGATCAGGGATAGTAATGTACGTAGCGCCGTGAGCAGGCAATGTGCCTGGATGTGAGCGCCATATAAGCGGACTATTACTATTACTAGATACCAAATGGGAGATCGTTTTCCATTTTCTGCAAATTTGCAAGAAACATAATACCCCAATGTTTTGATGACTAATATCTCGTTAACCACATTACCCACATGAAATTTTGGATATGACTTTGCTAATGATTCCTTCAAAATAAAATGGAAGCTGTTTTTCAAATATTGGACATCGAGGATATAGTTAGTTTGACTACTTTTTCAACGCCCCTCGTAACATACTTAAAAGAAATGAGAACGTCTAAGGAAAAAAGCATTTCGATCTCTGAATACTTCTGAGCTATTTAAATACAAAAAGCAAAGGAATAAAGTAAATATTATCTGAAAAGAATAGCCAAGGGAAACTTTTAATCTATTTTTGATAACTATTTATCACTCCAGGCTACTCAATCAGGTTGTTACTAATTCATCGGGACCCATTCCCCTTCAGGTTTTGAAGATTTGGATAAAGCTGAAACATTAAATGAATATTTTGTATATATAATGTATAACAAATGTCATTGTAACCGAAAAGGAGGTATCTGATAAGACCTTACCAGCAAACAAATCTAGTGGACCTGATGGCATTAGCATGGGAGTGTTAAAACGAATTTGTACATCTATAGCTGAACCTCTTTGTTTGCTGTATAATATATCACTGAGTGACTGTATTTCCTACATTGTAGAAAACGGGTAATGTTACTCCTATTTTGAAAGAAGGAAATGCATCCCTCCCAACTAATTACAGAGCTATTAGTTTAATATTACCTATCCTTTGGAAAATCCTTGAAAGAATAATGGTAATAAAGCATGTGCACGACCATTTCCATGAACATAACATTTGAAGTAAATTCCAGTCAGGTTTTACTGCTAGTCATTCTACTACATCTCAACATAGACATTTATCATAATATATGCTCAGTCCTAGATAATCACCACCTTTAGTGTATGCTGTTTTGTGATATTTCGAAAGCTTTTTACAGGGCATGGCATAAAGGTTTGTTGCACAAATTAGAAAATGATGGTGTTCGTGGAAACGTACTTAGTTGGTTAACTAACTATCTATCTGGTCCCGGTTGTTCAATACTCGGTTATCTTAACCGCCGGTTAACTCCTAACGGCGGTTAAATCCTTAACCGGCCGTTAGGTAGCCGAACGTTAAATATGCGTTGTTCAGAACATGGTTAGTCATGCCGTTAGCTAACGTCGCCTAACGTCACTGGTTAGCTTCCATATATCCCATAGTTCCGTTTTCTGTTTACTTCCGGTTTACCAAAAATGGAAACGCGAATGTCGTAGCGTTACGAACGTTTTGTATTGGAACACAAGGTTCCAGACGTTTGCATAATTTATATTTCAAAGACATATGATCCCAGCTCTGTGTGGGACTTACTTCAATTCCGACAACAGAAAAGACATTTTAATGAAAATAGGGCTGTAACGAATACATTATGTTGCGAATATAATACATCTCACGAATATTAGGTAACGAATACGAATAATTATTCATGAATACAATATTGTAGTTAAGTGAGGGATGTACAATATTGAATGCCCATGTTGACAGTGTTAATTTGTCTCGTCAATAACCAGTCATCTCATGACACTCATATTTTGTATGTACTAGTTATAATTGACAGCACAGCTATAGATAAAATATGATGAATCGATGAAAATAATATTAATATTAGAAGCATGTTGTCAGTGGATAGAAAATGTATAAA